TAACCTTGTTAGTATCTTAAGATAAGCATCTTATTGCTTCGTAATTACAATTATTACCTAACCTATAATAGGTATAGGTTAAGTAATAATTGTAATTACGAAGCAATAAGATGCTTATCTTAAGATACTAACAAGGTTAGGTAAGGTCGGTGTTTTCTATGAATCTTTTTAGGGGTATCTATTATGTTTAGTATATCACCTATGCACGTAGTTAATAAGTCAATATTGACTTTACGAATTTGCGAGAACGGGTTGGTCAATTCCTCTGAGAATTTTGTAGGTAGTGATCATGTCTCCCCGAGCTCTCCTGTCTTCCAGCGCCGTGAGGTGCATCTCGCGCAGCCTTTCCTCGTAACTCATGCCTCTTAGTTCTGGGACTATTCTAGTGGCATAACTCTGAACGTTTTCCAGTTTCATCTTGTGCTTGACAAGTTACGGGCTCCATGCAGGGGCCGCATACTCCAGAATTGGTCTTACATATGTGGTATTCAAGTTTCTGAAGGATTCCTTACACAGGTTCCTGAAGGCGGTTCTGATGTTAGCCAGCCTCGCATACGCCACTGCTGTCATTATTTTGATGTGGGTTTCAGGAGACATGTTTGCCGTGATATCAACTCCTAGATCTTTCTCTCTGTCCGATTCATATAGAGCATCATCTCCCATTCGGTATCCTGTGTCTGGCCTCCTGTTTCCACCTCCTAATTTCATTACCTTACATTTACTTGGGTTCAAATTTATTAGCCATTTGTTGGACCATTCATTCAGTTTGTCTAGTTAATCTTGTAACCTCATACTGCATCTTCTGTTTTAATCCTCCTCGTAATTTTTGCATTATCAGCAAACAATGAGAGGAACGATTCTATTCCCTCTGGGAGATCATTCACATATATCAGAAACAGTATAGGTCCAAGGACTGAACCCTGCGGAACTTCACTGGTGACGTGTCGCCAATCTGAGACCTCACCCCTCACAGTGACTCGTTGTCTTTTGTTGCTTAGGTACTCCCTTTTCCAATAGAGTACCTTCCCTTTCACTCCTACCTGCATCTCCAGCTTTTTCACTAGCCTTTAGTGTGGTAATGTGTCAAAGGCTTTCTGGCAATCTAAAAATATGTAGTCTGCCCACCCCTCTCTTTCTTACCTGATTTTTGTTGCCTGGTCGTAGAATTCAATTAGCCCTGTGAGGCAGGACTTGCCATCCCTGAACCCATGTTGATGTTGTCTTACAAAGTTCTTTCGCTCCAGATGTTCCACTAGCTTTTTGCGCACAATCTTCTCCATCAGCTTGCATGGTATGCAAGTTAGGGACACTGGCCTGTAGTTCAGTGCTTCCTGTCTATCCCCTTTCTTGTATATCGGGACTATATTAGCCGTCTTCCAAATTTTTGGCAGTTAACCTGTTACCTGTGATTTGTCATACACAATGGAGAGTGGTAGGCACAGTGCTTCCGCTCCTTCCTTCAGTATCACACATACACACTGTGTGTGTGTACTTACCTATTTGTGCTTGCGGGGTTGAGCTCTGGCTCTTTGGTCCCGCCTCTCAACCGTTAATCATCAGGTGTACAGGTAGATATGATAGAGCCTACTGGGCTCTATCATATCTACACTTGAAACTGTGTATGGAGTCAGCCTCCACCACATCACTTCCTAATGCATTCCATTTGTCAACCACTTTGACACTAAAAAAGTTCTTTCTAATATCTCTGTGGCTTATTTGGGCACTCAGTATCCACCTGTGTCCCCTAGTGCGTATGCCCCTTGTGTTAAATAGCCTGTCTTTATCTATCCTAGCAATTCCTTTCAGAATCATGAATGTGGTGATAATGTCCCCTCAAGTCTTCTTTCTTCCAGCGACGTGAGGTTTAATTCCCGTAGTCTCTCCTCGTAGCTCATACCTCTTTGCTCAGGTTCTAGTCTGGTGGCAAACCTTTGAACCTTTTCCAGTTTAGTCTTATCCTTGACTAAATATGGACCCCATGCTGGGGCTGCATAGTCCAGGATTGGCCTGACATATGTGGTATACAAAGTTCTGAATAATTCCTTACACAAGTTTTTTAAATGCCGTTCTTATGTGGGTCAGCCTGGCATATGCCGCTGATGTTATCCTTTTGATATGGGCTGCAAGGGACAGGTCTGGCGAGATATCAACCCCCAAGTCTTTTTCCTCTCTCTGACTCTTGAAGAATTTCATCTCCCAAATGAAAGCTTGTATCTGGCCTCCTGCTCCCTATACCTATCTTCATTATATTACATTTGCTTGGGTTAAACTCTAACAACCATTTGTTCGACCATTCCTTTAGTTTGTCTAGGTCTTCCTGAAGCCTCAAGCAATCCTCCTCTGTCTTAATCCTTCTCATAATTTTGGCATCGTCAGCAAACATTGAGAGAAATGAGTCTATACCCTCCGGGAGATCATTTACGTATACCAGAAACAGGATAAGACCGAGTACAGCGCCCTGTGGGACTCCTCTGGTGACTTCACGCCAATCTGAGGTCTCACCCCTCACTGTAACTTTCTGCTTCCTGTTGCTTCTTATTGCTTAGTACTCCCTTATCCACTGGAGCACCTTACCAGTTACTCCTGCCTGTCTCTCCATCTTATGTACCAGCCTCTTATGGGGTACCGTGTCAAAGGCTTTCCGACAATCCAACAAAATGCAGTCCACACAACCTTCTCTTTCTTGCTTAATCTTTGTCACCTGGTCGTAGAAATCTATTACGCCATCAGGCAAGATTTTCCCCTCCCTGAACCCATGTTGGCGATTTGTCACGAAGTCCCTTTTCTCCAGATGTGTTACTAGGTTTCTTCTCACGATCTTCTCCATCACCTTGCATGGTATACAAGTCAAGGACACTGGCCTGTAGTTCAATGCCTCTTGTCTGTCACTCTTTTTGTATATTGGGACCACACTCGCCGTCTTCCATATTTCTGGAAGGTCTTCCGTCTCCAGTGACCTACTATACACTATGGAGAGTGGCAAGTAAAGTGTCTCTGCACACTCTTTCAGTACCCATGACAAAATCCCGTCTGGACCAACAGCCTTTCTCTTTCTTTCATTCCAACAGGTGCCTCTTGACCTCATCTCTCGTAATTTCAAACCCTTCCAAGGCCGCCTGGTTTACTTCCCCTTCTCCTAGCGCAGTGATCTCATCTTGTTCTATTGCGAAGACCTCCTGGAACCTCTTGATGAGTTCTTCACACATCTCTTTGTCATTCTCTGCACACCTGTCCTCGCCTGTTCAAAGTTTCATTACTTGTTCTACTTGTATTGCACCAGAGATAATATTATTTATTTGCGTTTCCATGCCCTAATACAACTTCAGGATAGTCCCCCCACCTAATGCTATAGCCTTTAACTTTCTAAATAGTCTCATTTGAGGTAGAATATTAAAGGTTTTGCTAAAGTTAAGGTATAAAGTGTTGAACTCTTCTCCACTGTCATCTACTTGTGGTATTCTAGAAAAGAATAAGAGAAAATTTGTTAAACACGAGCGGCCCCTTAGTAAAATCATGTTTTGAATCATTCATTAATCTATATATATTTTAAGATGTAGGCTTTTGCTATTTTCGTTTTAAGCCATTTTTCGACAATAGACATTAAGGTAACTGGCCAATACCTGGATGCAAGTGATCTATCTCTCACTTCTTATAAAGAGGCCCAACATTTGCGACTCTCCAAGCATTCAATGTTCTGCTCAACTCTGAAGATTTATTAAATATGCTAGCGAAACTAAGTTCTTCTTTACAGTTCTTGAGCACCCTTGCAAATGCTTCGTCTAGCCCCAGGGGATTTGTTAGATTTTAAATTTTCTATTTGTTTAATAATTTTCGCTCTGGTAACATCTGAACTAATCAACATATCTTTTGTACCCTTACATAGGTTTGTCAGATGCGGGCATAATATCAAGTTCCCCTCAAGCAAATATAGAGATGAATTTCTTGTTTAAAATTCCAATCATTTCTTTGACAGAGGACGGAAGGGGGGGGGGGGGTGTTGGAAGAAGTTGCCTAAGATGGGGTGACCTTCGACGAGATTGTCAAGAAAAAGGTTGTAAGTTCATACTATCACCTGAGTCGTCAAAGAAGCGCACGAAATATGTTTTCCTTAAACACGTTCTCTGACTTTGTGCAGAGAACAACGCAAAGTTGAGGGGGGTGATTCATTTGTTCAATAGAGAAGTAAGGTTTAGGAGATAATCCCGAGACTGTTTTGCAGGGACGCTAACGAGGTCAACTTAACACAAGAGGAGACACTGAACAAAATTGCTACATCAAATGTGAATAATTTTTGGGCTTAGTCTCATGTGTGAGGATGGGATGATGTTTGGAGATGCCTTTAGGCTCACCAGTCTCTGGAGGGTTATTTAGGCCCTGACCCTGCCTTATTGATGAACCAGCAATTATACTCTAGTTTTCATTGATTGGTTATTGATGAAGATTTGGTCACCACAAGAGGTGGCATGGACGTGAGTAGCCAGGAGGTTGTAGATGTTTGAAGTGAATGTGATCTTTAGGCGTGTAGAATCTTGAATGGTTTCTGGGTCTCTGCTTTGGTCTTGATTGATTAACGAAGATTAAGGCACCCAAGAGGTGGCACAGGCATGAATAGCCCGTAATCTTTTGACCTGTAAACTCTCTGCCTATATATATACCGAGAATTGGGGTAAACAGGTGCATATCCGGTCGGCTTCTGTGGGCTGGGGCGGGGCCATCTGAACTCATCAGAGATCGGATGCTGCTCATTCCATTGCTGGTGACTCACCTGGCCATGAACCCTAGGGTCAATCTGGATGGCATACGCTGCGTCGTGTTACTCAAGACACGACCTGTAGGGTAAGAGGGAAGGAGAGACGAGTCGTTCTCGCCTTCACCTTTGTCCTATTTGATCATTGTTAAATAGAATTTGTCATTTCCGAATAACAGAGGCCTCTCAGACACCGCTCTCACACACATTTCACTGAATTTGATCACGAATAAAGAAAATAACATTCGCTAAATTTCTGACTCAGATAGTTTATTCAAAAACATCAGTACACGTCCGGACAAAACCGATGTACACACGGTAAAAAGTTTCGTGAGCTACGTTTTTAGTGATGAGGTTTTCCGGCTCCTGAATTAGTTCCAGACGACGCCCCGACGGCGCTGCTCCTCGGCGTTACGGATCTGCTCGATGGCGTGGGCGGGGAGAGGGTGGGGCGTGGGGATCAGCGGAGACTCGGCGCGGAACCCGAACTCGTCGGCGACGTAGCGGACCTCAGCCGGGGTGCCGTCAGGAAGGATGAACCTGAGAGGGAGAAGGAACGGCTGGCATGATTCTGACGGGACGATGAACAGAGAGAGAGATGCTGGAAATGTTTATGAGCAGTGACGATACACATGTTGGAAATCTGGGTTCAGGTAACGTTAAAGTAACGACGATTCCACAACAGTAAACATGTTTAAGGGTAATGTTCATAAGTAGCAAGGAGTCACTTGTAGGACCCCCTGGCTATGGGGAGTGTTCAAGAGTAGCGATGGACTCACCTGTAGGACCCCTGGATGTTGCTCTGACCCTTGGAGCCCGGCCGGCCAACGGCGCTCACGGCGATGCCGTTCTCAGTCTCGAAGTCGTAGCTGAAGTTACCATCGCCACTATCCTGGCGGTTGTCCCTCAGGACGGCGATGTGGCGGTAGTCTGGGCGATCGTGACGGAGGAACTGATGACCAAACTGCGGGGCAGCGACAGCCGCGACGACCAGGCAGGCGACGATTACCTGAAAAGGACAGGAGGCATGCCTTATTAAAACCCAGGATTATATATAACATAGATAACTATTTAATATAACAAAACACTAATATATATATAAATATATCTTTCAGCTTAAGACTCACGAGCTTCATGTTGGTGGGATAATGGCGGGCTGCGGATGGCGGCAGAAGACAAGGGCGGGGACTTATATACCCCGCCCGAGGTCAGGTGCTGCTCCCTTCCAGTTATTGTGGTTCACCTGTCCGGGTCATCCAAGGTCAGTACGGATGCTGCAAGCTGTGTCATGCTAGTCAGATGAGAGGCAGGTGAGAGGCAAGTGAGAGGCAGATGAGAGGCACGTGAGAGTCAGATGAGAGGCAGGTAAAAGGGGTCTAATGTTAAAGGTCTGGTGTTGGGGGGTCGGTTTAGGCGGAAGGGATATTTGAGTAAATACGGTTATATTTTTTGTACATGATTTAGTTTTTTTTTCGCGTAACGTGTTGCATATGGGCGAAATAAGATTTATAAAGGTAGGTATGGAGATGTTGGTAGGAATACCATCATAGGTATTGTATGATAACCAACATACAATACCTATGTCCATCCATCTCTCTATCCATTTATCCCTTCATCAATTCATCCTTACATCCAATTGTCCAGCCATCCGTTCATCTATCAATCCATTCACCTATCTATCTATCTATCTTTCTATTTATCTCTCTATATATCCACTTATTAATTTTTTAATCCATGTATGTATACATCCACTTACTCATCTTTATATCCATATATATATACATCCATAAATATATACATCCATATATATAGCTAATGGGCCTGATGGCTGAGTGGATAGCGCTCGGCATTCGTAGTCCTAAAATTCCGGGCTCAATCCCCGGCGGAGGCGGAAACAAATGGGCAGAGTTTCTTTCACTCTGATGCCCATGGGGGTGTGTAACGAAAAGGAAGCCTGGTTGAGGACCGGGCCACGGGGACGCTAAGCACCGAAATCATCTCAAAATAACCTCAAGATAAGAAAATCCCTCTATCTCTTCGTCAATCCCTGCATTTATCCTACCATCTACACGTCTATGCATCCTATACTTCTATATATCCATCCATTCATCAATCCATCCATCCATATTCTGTCTGTCTCTGTCTCGTTCTCTTCGTATCTCCTTCCTTGTCTGTCCCTTTATTTCTCTGCCTCAGTTTGTGTGTTTCTCTGCCTCGGTCTCTGCCTATCTGTCTCTCTTATAAAAAAATATTATTGTCTAATGTGTGGGTGGTCAGCAGTGAGAGGAGCTCAATGGCGTGATATACTAATATATATATATATATATATATATATATATATATATATATATATATATATATATATATATATATATATATATATATATATATATATATATATATATATATATATATATATGTGTGTGTGTGTGTGTGATCGCTCCATTGTCGACCAAGCAGCTGCGACAACACCACATGACACTGCCCGACTTAGAGCTGTAGCAGCTCCCCATGCAGGTGACTTCTTATTAGCAACCCCAACGTCAGCAACCTGCACGCGACTCACACCACAGGCCCTCCGGATTGTTGGGGCTTTCTGCCTCGCTGCCTCAAACCACACCGAATACAGGTGTATTTGCGGTGAGGCAGTGGCCGACAGGTACGGACGGCATGGGCTTTTCTGCTAAAGCACAGGAGGATGGCATGCGAGACACAGCGAGGTTAAGGACATTATTTAGAGAAGCCTCACCACATCCGGATGTCCAGCAGAGAGAGAACCCCGTTACTTAATGCCCCGCAACTCTGATAAGCCTTTTGGTCGCCAAGACGGGATCATGGTGTACCCCTGGAAGAATGGTAGGCAATTGGTGTAGGACTTACACTTGTGTTTCAACTTTGGCCAACATCTATGTTGACTTCAGTACTGCAAAGGCAGGCGGTGTTACCAATCACCGGGAAGCAGCCAAGTCGCATAAATACAGAGATCTTGATTACCACTTCAATTTTGTCCCCATTACCTCAGAGACACTTTGTTCCTGGGGTAAAAGAGCTGCTAGTTTTTTGAAGGAGTTGGGTTCCAAGCTAATTGAAACAACTAGAAACCCCTAAAGCCGTCAGTTTCCTCTTTCAGCGCCTTAGTGTGGCTCTCCAGAGAGGAAATGCTCACTGTATCCATGGTTCTTGCCCGCCATCTGAGGAGATAGAGGAACTCTACAACCTGTGACAAGTAGCCTTGCACCTTGCATGTAACCAATGTTGTAACTCTTTTTTTGTGTAATGAAGTTTCTAAAATAAAGGGAGATATTTATATACATATGCAAAAATAGAATAGGGGTGGTAAGAGATGAAAATATCAGTGTTCAGTGAGGATCCACAAGGTCTTCTGAGTACTCTTTATTTTCTTTTCCGAGACTGTGGGTCTCTACAGTTGCACCAGAGGTGGTACCCCTTTTAGGTTTAATATATATATGATTCGAATCCAGACAGCCAGGGCTCCATGTACCTCAGCATCTCCAAATCTATACCAACTAGACAATACTGACTGTACAAAAAAGGTTAGAAGTCGCAAGACTTTTAACCCAACCTCCCAACAGCACTCGAGGGTCAATTTTAGGGAACATTTATTTCATCGAATCACTTCGATGTTGGGGGCCACGTAAGGAACACAGTCGAACTCCCGGTATAGTCTTCCTGTTAGGAGCTTTTAAGACATCCTGAGCAGCCAATGATCCGTTGTCAATAAAGATTGTATAAACTCCCCTGGTGTGTTTTGAGAGTAATTTCATCGTTTGGAAGAACGTTTAGTGCATCTCCTTCGAGCAGTTTTGTTTCATTTGTAAATGCAACGAAGAATGTCGGGATTTACTAGAAGGTGGAACTAAAAGTGATATTTCAACTGGAAACGCGTCTTCATAGACTTTAATTGAACGTTTGCCACAAGAACTGAGAGTATATTTTAACTTTACATAACCTTGTGATATTCATATCACGTGAGCTTAATTGATTTCAGGTGGATATTCATTTTTATAAGTATTGGTTGGGTGAGTCAAAAGCCTGGGCACCTGGAATGCTACGTGAGCCATGTAAACGATGAACTAGGAGTACCTGAGTATCAGATGAGTCAGGTAAACAGTAGGCTTTGAGTACTAAGGAAGTCAGGTAAACAATAGACTGGGCGTACTTAAGTATTAGGGAAGTTAGGTAAACAGTAAACTGGGAATACTTGATCAAGGGCCAGGGAAGTCAGGTAAACAATAGAGTGAAGTATCCAATATTCATTATACAAAATCTGACATTGAGTGCAGGAGAAATGGACTTTCTATCAATGAACTTTCAGTTTTCATGTTTTTTTCTCGTAATAAATCCCAGACCTCATCTCCTAATTCCAAAATATAGTGAGTACGGGAGAGAATTTATAATATAATAATTATTATTTGTTGTAGTTTAGGATAGTTTATTTTTCAAATTAAAGAAAAATATATTTCCTGTTGTTGATGTGAAGCGATAATAAATTTCCTTAAGTGAGACACAGCATCCGTCATCCCCGAGTGTGAAGGCCTCTCTCACAATTTACTCTGATGCGTAAAACCACAATTTGCTTCCACTCAATTTTATCACAAATAAAGAAAATTAATATACGTTGAGATTCGGAGTTACAATATTTATTAAGAGAAGTCAATAATACATCGTCGGAGAAAATATATTTGATAAGGTATTTGATCTATATATAGATCTTAGCTTGAAATTCTGTGACTTTTTTAGCGGAACAAGGAGCACTCTGCCTAAGGCGAAGCGGAACCGTGTGCCTGGCTACTGCATGGCTCGTCCCTCCTCGTTGTCGTGGCAAAACCATCTTCTGGGTTTTCCGGCTCCTGAATTAGTTCCAGACGACGCCCCGACGGCGCTGCTCCTCAGCGTTGCGGATCTGCTCGATGGCGTGGGCGGGGAGAGGGTGGGGCGTGGGGATCAGCGGAGACTCGGCGCGGAACCCGAACTCGTCGGCGACGTAGCGGACCTCAGCCGGGGTGCCGTCAGGAAGGGTGAACCTGAGAGGGAGAAGGCACGGCTGGCATGATTCTGACGGGACGATGAACAAAGAGAGATGCTGGAAATGTTTATGAGGAGAATAGACATGTCGGAACGCTGGGTACATGGGATGTTAAATAAATAACGATTCCCTTATAGTAACCTTGTTTAAAGGGAATGTTCATGAGTAGCGATGGACTCACCTGTAGGACCCCTGGATGTTGCTCTGACCCTTGGAACCCGGCCGGCCAACGGCGCTCACGGCGATGCCGTTCTCAGTCTCGAAGTCGTAGCTGAAGTTACCATCGCCACTATCCTGGCGGTTGTCCCTCAGGACGGCGATGTGGCGATAATCTGGGCGATCGTGACGGGGGAACTGATGACCAAACTGCGGGGCAGCGACAGCCGCGACGACCAGGCAGGCGACGATTACCTGAAAAAAGTGGCAAAAGGCGCTAAACATTAGCACAGTTAAAATAAAATCAAGAATATGCGATTTCCCCCTTGGATATTTGACCTATAAGGAGGAACTGTTTCACGCCTTGCTATATTCAACGCCAGCAAATATATTAATGTAATATTATTCCCATGGGTTTAAATTAGACTCACGAGCTTCATGTTGGTGTAGTGAGGACGGGCTGAGGATGTCTTGTGAGGGCCGGGGCGGGGCCTTATATACCCAGCCCGAGGTCAGGTGCTGCTCCTCTCTAGTTTTTGTCTCTCATTGGGCCAGGTCACTGAGGGTCAGGCCGGATGCTCCAAGTTTCCAGAGTAAGTCAGTGAAGCGAGGTCTTTGGGGGGGGGGGCTTCAGAGTGGCTTAGCTGCGGGGCTCTGTAGCGTCTTAGCTGTGGGGTGAGGCTCTGTAGCGTCTTAGCTGTAGGGTGGGGCTCTGTAGCGTCTTAGCTGTGGGGTGGGGCTCTGTAGCGTCTTAGCTGTGGGGTGGGGCTCTGTAGCATCTTAGCTGTGGGGTGGGGCTCTGTAACGTCTTAGCTGTGGGGTGAGGCTCTGTAGCGTCTTAGCTGTGAAGTGGGGCTCTAGATCGTATCAGCTGCGGTGTTGTGAGAGATCTAGAGCGCTTTAGTTGTGAGTTGTTGTGCCTCTAGGGTATGCTAGCTATGAGGTAGTGGGAGCATCTCAGTGTCTTAGCAGAGGAATAGTGGGGGCTTTTGACCGTCTTAGCTATATGATGGGGGCCCTTGAGCGCCTTAGCTATGGGGTGGACGGCTCTTGAGCGCCTTGGCTATGAGATGGTAGTGGTTTTTAGAGTGCCTTAGCTGTGGGTGGTGGTGGGGGGCTGTAGATCGTCTTAGATATTAGGAGGGGGCCTCTGGAGCTTCTTAGCTGTGGGGATGGTTGCTCTAAAGTGCTTTAACTGTGGTTGGTCGGACTCTAGACCATCTTTGTTGTGGATGGTGTTGGGGGTCTGGGTCGTCTTTTGTATTGGTAGTGGGGACTCTGGGTCGTCTTTGGTATTGGTAGTGGGGACTCGGGTCGTCTTTGGTAATTGTTTTTTATTATAATTTTCTACCACAGACGTGGGAACACATTTATGGGTGTGGGGGTCCAGACCACCTCAGGTACACGGGGTGTACAAGGGGCCCACTACGACCAGTCGCATCGTATTTTAACGCATAAATCTCTCAACGTCAACATATGATGTACTATAAATCACAACGGCTCGCAAAACAGACGTGATGTCCCGGTTTTCTTTTCATGGATCTTCGGTTAGGTTCGGCTTCAGGGACAATTTATTTCATCATTTTAGTGACTTTAAGAACGCTGGAGAGGACGGGCTTCCTGGCTTTCCAATAATGGCCGACTAAGATCTGTCATCTCAATCGCTATGTAATAAGTTTTGTAGAATAATTTTCTGATGCTGAACTCTCTTCTCTCCCAGTAACTAACAAGGAGCACCAGTACTACGTCTCATACTCGACGGTTAACTTGAGAGGATTTCGGGGCTTAGCGTCCCCGCGGCCCGGTCCTCGACCAGGCCTCCTTTTTGTTACACATCCCCAGGAAGCAGCTGTCTAAACTCCCAGGTACCTATTTACTGCTAGGTAACAGGGACATCAGAGTTAAAGAAAATCTGGCCATTTTTGTTTCTGCATCCACTGGGGATTGAACCCGGAACCTCAGGACTACGTATCCGAAGCGCTGGCCACTCAGCTGTCGGCTCCCCCGACGGTGCTCGTACCTGCTGCAAATGGAACCAAAAAATGACACTCGGTTAATACCATCAACATTTCATACACGAAAATACGTTTAATTAAAAAAATAAACATTCGTATATGGTCAAAGATTTGTTTTATTTTCCATCTAGATCTTAGCTGTCGCTCTTTTTCTTTGTAAGATGCTATGCTTGTGAAACAATGTGCAGCAGTAATTGTGACTTTTTGGAGATAAGGAGATCCACAGAGGAGCAACAGATCTTGGTGTAGCCCGCGTCCTCTTAAATTTCACCATCGTCAAGAAACTATCGTACTAATGCGCCCAATCCTAACCTACCAGAAGACCCAAAACAGAAAACGAGACAGTATGTCAATTTCGTGAGTCTCCACGTTTTTCTAGTATGACAATAGGTTTTATATTTATTTATTTATATATACAAGTGTTTTTACATTCTTGCATAACCACTAGCACGCATAGCGTTTTTGGCAAGTCCTTTAATCCTAATTTTCACACACACACATCCCCAGGATGCAGCCCGTGGCAGATGTCTGACTCCCAGGTACCTATTTACTGGTAGGTGAACAGATACATTAGGGTGAAAGAAACTCTGTCCATTTGTTTCTGTCTCCGCCGAGGATCGAACCCGGACCCTTAGGACGCCGAACCCCGAGCGCTCTCCACTCAGTCGTCGGACCCCCGGATAAGGCCCCGGAATAATTTTTGGCCTTAGGTAGATTATACGTCAAAATGCGACGTTCTATTACGAGTACGGGTTGGCCTGGTGATGCTTATCAAATTTAAATGATTGAAGATGCTCTATAAATCCCGCCACCATAAAGGTTGACTGTGTCTCATATACACGACCATGACTTTTAGGTCCCGTTCATGACAACATTCTCATTCATGCAGAAGAGGGAGGCTAGAGAAGTCACGGTAAGGTGGGTGGAGAGGTCGACCAAACACTCCGCTACCACCACGCGCGCGCACAAGCACACACGATATGTGTGTGCTGGTGCGTATTCTGATATACGTAAATGATCTTTCAGAAGGAATTGACTCGTTCCTCTCGATGTTTGCTGATGATGCAAAAATTATGAGGAGGATCAGGACAGAGGGGGATAGTGTGAGGCTACAAGATGGCCTAGACAAACTGGAGGAATGGTCTGACAAATGGCTACTAAAGTTCAACCCAAGTAGATGTAAGGTAATGAAACTAGTTGGAGGAACTAGGAGGCCAGTCACTGGAATGGGAGATGAAGTCCTTCACGAAACGGACAGAGAGAAAGATCTGGGAGTTGACATCACACCAAATCTGTCTCCCGAAGCCCACATCAAAAGAATAACATCAGCTGCCTATGCATCAGAACTGCTTTCAGAAACCTGTGTAAAGAATCCTTCAGAACCTTGTATACCACATATGTAAGGCCAATCCTGGAGTATGCAGCCCAGCATGGAGCCCGTACCTTGTCAAGCACAAGACGAAGCTGGAAAAAGTCCAGAGGTATGCCACTAGGCTAGTCCCAGAACTAAGAGGCATGAGTTATGAGGACAAACTACTGTCTGTATGAACTGCACCTCACGACGCTGGAAGACAGAAGAGCTAGGGGAGACATGCTCACCACATACAAAATTTTCAGGGGAATTGACAGGGGTGGACAAGGATGGATTATTTAACACGGGTGGCACACGCACAAGGGAACACAGGTGGAAGCTGAGTACCCAAATGAGCCACAGAGACATTAGAAAGAACTTTTTCAGTGCCAGAGTAGTTAGTACATGGAATGCACTAGGAAGTGATGCTGTGAAGACTGACTCCATACACAGTTTCAAATGTAGATATGGCAGAGCCCAGTAGGCTCAGGAATCTGTACATCAGTTGATTGACGGTTGAGATGCGGGACCAAAGAGCCAGAGCTCAACCCCCCCAGCACAATTAGGTGAGTACACGCACGCAAACACACACATGCACGTACGCAAACGCATACACGCAATGCACGCGCACACACACACACACACAAGCTATGAGAGGGGGCAGATGCTAAAATAGCACTTCAAAAGAACTTTGTATGCCACTATTTATGGTGTATAACAAGTCAATGGAAACTAGAGACCAACCAGAGAGTTAGAAGACAGCTAACATAGTCCCAATTTACAAAAAAGGGGGGAATTGCAGGAGGCCCAAAACTGGTGTCCTTGGTGGTCCTTAACTTGTATACCGTGCAAGGTGATAGAGAAAGAAGATCGAATTTGAAAACACGTCACGGTGAGAAGGGACTTTGTGATGCGGCTCCTGCGTGGAGTCCACATCTCGTCAAACACAAAACGAAGTTAGAAAAGGTTAAGAGGTTTGCCACCAGACTAGTTCCCGAGCTGAGAGGAATGAGATATGAGGAAAGATTACTAGAACTGAACCTCACGTCCCTGGAAGACAGAAGAGTTAGGGAAATCATGATCACTACCTACAGAGGTAGGCAATTTTTATCTACAGGATAGATAGAGATAAACTGTTTAAAACGGGTGGTACACGAACAAGGTGACACACGTGGAAATAGAGTACCCAAATGAGCCACTGGGACGTTAGAAAGAACTTTTTCAGTGTCAGAATAGTTAACAGATGGAATGCATAAGACAGTGATGTGGTGGAGGCGGACTCCATACACAGTTTCAAATGTAGATATGGTAGAGCCCAGTAGGCTCAGGAATTTGTACACCAGTTGATTGACACTTGAGAGGCGGGACCAAAGAGCCGGAGCTCAACCCCCGCAAACACAAATAGGTAAGTACAAATGGGTGACTACACACACAAACACACACACACACACACACACACACACACACACACACACACACACACACACACACACACACACACACACACACACACACACACACACACACGCACACACACACACACACACTACTAATAAAGCGGAAATGGAAGTTTGAGGAGCTGGAAAATCCGGGTGCCAATGAAAGCACAAGCTTCATACATGGAACTCTGACAGTGGATGGGAAGAAGATTGTAATCTTGATACTCTACAATCCCCCACCAAACAGTAGAAGGCCCAGGCAGGAGTACGAGGACAGCAACAAGACATGTATGGATGAACTGCAGAGGGCAGCAACTTTAGCGCATAGAATGAGAGCGAAGCTGCTGGTCATGGGGGACCTAAATCACGGAGAGATAAATTGGGAAACGAGGAATCCCCATGGCGGGGAGGAGACCTGGGGAGCGAAGCTGGTAGACGTTATTGACAGGAATTTCCTAACACAGCATGTGAAAGAAGATACTAGGGAAAGAGGAGGGGATACGCCCAGCCTATTAGATCTCATTATCACTCAGAATGTAGAAGACATCGAGCAGTTGGAACATGAAATACCACTAGGAGCTAGTGACCATTGTGTCCTAGTCTTTGACTACATGATGGAGCTTAAAATTGTGACCAAAGGACAAGAGGTCCGGGAAAGGAGACTTGATTACAGAAAAGGGGACTACAGAAGGATA